GGAAAAAATATTACATATAAGCATATGTATATATAACATCAATCATGGAGTAGATTTTCGAGCACTTACATTAATTTCAAAGATAAAACATGGATCTAAAAACACCTCTGACATTTGCCAACAGCCACGTGGAGCCCCTCTTTGATCTGAACATCCATGTTTCCGGGCACTTAAATGGTAAAGTTAGAGAAGCAGGGCAGCACAAGGCAAGGACCAGCGTTTCCTCAGTCCCAACACAGCTGGGGCTTAGAATCAGCTCTGATTCCTCCGTGCAGCTGGAAGGGAGAGACTGCTGCTGATCTGTCTAAACAGCTGCCTCCAACTCCTACCATCTTCTTCCTTCTCTTTCCCTGTTAGTCCATTCAGCGCTGGTCTTCCTCTTCCTTTCAGCAAACAGGGCCATAAACTCATCTTTCAGTGCTTCAAATTAGCATTCTTGAAACTGGGGTACATGTCTGGAGTAAAGCCAACATTTCTCAAGGGGTTCACCATCACACCTGTAAGAAAATCAATTTCCAGAATCCCATCTTCCAAGTAAGTATCGTCTTCTCTAAAAATTGACCTGCCCAGGACTGTGAGTGAAGAAGGGACTCCATTCCATGATGAATGGAAGCTGTCCTTCAACACCTCCCCTTCACAATGGCCCTTCACCCACATTACAAAAGTCATTCATTTGCATTACTGTCCTCAAATCTTTCTAAACTGCCAGGGTGTAAGGACCTCAGGGTTACGAACAAACAAAGGAACGAGTAAAAATACTAACATGGAGGAGTGAAAAATCTCTAGTATTTGGGTAACAACTCCTTTTGTAAGTCAGGTAATTTTCAATTCATTGTTTTAAACAACTTGAAATATTTCAATACCAAGAGCCTTATGGTCGAAATAAATTCAAAACACTGGGTTTGAATATATATACATTATTTTTTTGTTATAGAAAGTATCAGACTGTTCAGTAAGACACTTTTAAACACAAACATATATTACCATGGGATAGAATTCTATAGGAGGAAGGGAAATGTAAATATAAATTTAAGGAGAGAAAGAAAAGATGTCAAATTTTCAACTGTTCAAGACTTTATTAATATATTTAAAAATGACTGATACTAAGAATCAAATATAGATCCTATTCGAATTTTTTAATTGATGGAACAATTTAACTTAAAAGGTAAATATTTATAATATGCTGAAAAATTCCATCTTTGCATCTATTTAAATTTAGGGTGAAAAATTTTAGGAATTTGTGTAAAAATGTGCTTAGGGTACAGAGTTTTATAGAATCTTTTAGAAGCACCAGGAACATACACTTGGAAGAACACTGCTCTAGTACCAAGCCTTCAGAGGCTTTCCAAGACAAAATACTGAAGAGACAGAGAGAATGAACAATTTCCCACCTAAACTGTTCTGAGTATTATCTCCACCCTCTTTCCGGTCATAAACACATTTGTTGAACCTGGTTCTACAGCCAACAGTTTCTAAGATTGGTGATCAGTTTAAATATCTGACCTTAACGGCATTGCTGACTGGGGTTCGACTTTGGCTGGTGAGACGTCTCTCTCTCTTTAGGAGAATTGCTAGAGTACTTTTCTTTGAGTTCTCCAGAAAGATTCATGAAGCAATACCCATAAAAGCTCATTAATTTTGTATTTATCTTATCATACGATGACAAATTTCACCACTGGGATTGTGTGCAATATCAAATGCATCTATTTGACTGGCATTTTTTTATTTCATGAGTGACAGGCTTAATGCAAGGGACTAGAGAGTTCCTACTTATTATGTAGTTAATATTCTAAATATGGTAAATGTATTGAGGAATTATCTCGACACATTTACATACCCTAAGGACTCAAGACTCCACTTTTTCCCTTCTTGTTCTGGTTTCTTACTCTCTTCTTCCCCACTGCCCCTTACCTCTTTTCAGCCACTCATTTGGGAAGTAGAAAGTTGTCTACATATGATGGATGAGGCCAGCTCTTAATTCGGTGTCTACACTGTTTTAAAAATATTGACTTTCCGGTCCTCGGGCTCTCACAGAGACAGTGGGGCTATTTAGAGCAGATGTTAGACCTACTCTGAACCTACTCCTATTTAGTCTGAGGAGGTAGTAGTTTGAGATAAAAGGTCTGTCTTTAGAGTCCAAAAGCCAGCTAGAAATCCCACTCCACCATTTACCAGGTATGTTGATTTCTCTGAAACTCACATTCTCAAAGTCCTTAAAATGGGGTTGCTGAGGATTTGAGAGAATATACATCAAGCACCTAGAAACATACCCGCACATGATAGGTATTAATTAGTCAACAATTATGAAATCAGATGTTTAATGTTTTTTCAAATTAGCCAATAGTTTTCTCTTGGCAAAACATCAACAAGTGACATGTTTTTCAATTTCTTTCTAGTCTCTTTTAAAACAAGCGATTTGGAAAATGACTGCCTTTCTCATCTAAGTATAGGGTGTGTGTGTTAAATGTATGCGTATTTGTAGTACTAAACCCAATAAAAGGACAAGCACAGGATGAGGACGGCACGAAACTTGAGATTCCCCATGTAGCATTTATAAATATGGCCACATGTCCTAAACATGTTTTAGGCATTGCTGTGAAATGCTTAGTTTAAAAATAAAGCATGGAATCTTTGATCGACTCTTTTAAAGTCTATCCAAATTTAATTGGTAAGCTAACCCTTTCCCCCATCACACTAGCAAAGGTTTTTTGCTGTTGTTGTTTGCTTTTAAGATAATTAATACTGTAAGGCTGTGGGGAGAGTGCTACTCCCACAATTCTCACGTTAGTATGAGTATCACCTTTAGTTTCTAAATCAATCTGACAAAGTACATGTACCAAGGACTTAAAAAGGATTCACATGCTTAGTCAGCAAGGCAGGAATACGAGTTACATCCTCACCCAAACTAAAAGGTTTATGTACAAGAGTGTTAATTGTATCACAACTTATGGTAGTAAAAAATAAACCAGCTTGATGATCACTATAGGAGACTACATTATATGGTATAGCTATCCCATTGGACATTATACAGCTATTAAAAACAAAAAGAAATATTTAAATAAGATGGCATTGTTAAGTGACAGAAGCAAGGTATAAGGCTATGATTCCAAACTTGTGTGTGCCATTGTGATTCTCAAGCAGTAATAAGAAATTTACACTAAAGAATTGGAATGACACAAAGTAGTCAAAATCCATTCCACAGCTTGAAAAGACACAGTGTTAGGACTTGCTACCCACGTCCTCATTTTTAAAAGAAGTGTGGGATGAGTACAGTGCTGATTCAGATCCTTTTTATGAATGGCGGGGGGGAGAGGAAAGTGGATAATAGAGCTAAAAGTCATGTCTACAGCTGATACTCAGCCTCTTTAAACTTTCAGTTTAGTGAAGCCTTTGGGTGACTTTTATACCACAGGCACCAGTGCTCTCTGCCTAGCTAAGAAGTTCTGGTGGAGTGCGCAGAGATGAGACAAGGGTGGAAATGGTGAGGACTCCCAGCCTTCCAATATACACAATTTTGCACAGTGAAAGAGGAAATGAAACATTGCACACACGTGCACACGTGCACGCACACACACGTGCACACACACACAGGCTCAGATCTGCAGATACATATTTAAAGAACAAAACACTTTCTCGCCCTCATTCTAAGCAGAAATGCCTGAGAATACGACCTGTCCCTTCCTGGACTGATCTGTATTACTAGTTCTAAAACTCCTGGTTTACTCCTAATGCCCGCCACTACCACTGCCAACTAAACAAGGCTAGCAAGCATGCTGAGATTGTTCTCCAGCTTTCATGAACTTGCTTCCATTTACTTTTCACATCAGTACTTCAAAGGTCTAATCTAACCCCAGAGATAAGGAACAGAATAAAAATGCCTTTGGCCATTTATACATCTCATATTACGCACTCTTGTACTCCAGAAAAAAAAAAAGAGTAACCCAGTTCCTTGTGACTTGAAATGACACCTTTCTGCTGAGTGCTCTTCTAACTTGGCCTGTGTGACCATAGCTCTATCTGCCTGCCTGCCAGTCTGCCAGCCAGCCTGGGCCCAGGTGCTCCCAGCAGCCCCGCAGCAAGGCAAGCTTCTTTCTGCAAACAGTCTGAAATGACAGTATAAAGCCAAAATCAATGGAAGTTATTGTGAAAACACAAGAGAAGACAAAACACACCTAAATCGCCACCTGACACGTCACTACCCGGACTGAAAGGTGTCTGCTTGCTTGACAGCACACCTTGTCTACAGATGTCACACTGCAGAACCAACAGCTGGGGGGATATTTGGTTAGTTTCTGGTGGTCAGTTTCAAGAAATACCTACAAGCATTTCTTAGTTCTGAGCTCAGGTTCTATCTATATAGGTTTGGGTGACTTAAATTATGTCCAGGCTGGAAATGCGCTAAGCAAATAATTAACCTGAAGCATACCATCACTTCTGATACAAACATTTTCTACACAGAGCCCTAAATTACTTTCAGTTTGCTTAAACAAAACAGACAATCTGTAGTAAAAGGTCTCTGAGAAATGTGATCCCTTTCATTGGTCACCCAGGAGCGTTTTCCTCTTAAATCGGCTGCTTCTTGTCGGGGGAGGGGGAAGAGAGCATCCAAAATACATATGCCACCCAAATCACAATTCTTTTGTAAGAAAGTTGCTTAAGATAACTCTTCAGGGTTTCCCAGGTTGAGTAATTGTTGCAGGCGGATGGGAGGGACAGCTCGCCTCCAAGATTACTATCTGCAGAGGTTCCCCCTATGTTGCTTGATTTTTTTTTCCGGCGTCCTTTTTAATTATACTGCAAGGGCTCCGATTTCCACATCTCTAAACTGCTGCTGGGGAGAGTTGAGAGCGCCGCGCCAGGGCTGCGGCAGCCGCTCGGGCCAACTCCAGCGCTGGGGGCGGGCAGCCCACTGCCCACCGGGTCCCTCCCTCCCGGGCACCCGCGCCGAGACTGCGGTCCGCTCCCGTCTGCCCCGCGCCGAGAGCCGGGCCGGGACTCACCGCTGTCCAGCCTCGCGATCTGGGGCAGCCGGTAAGTGCTGACCAGCAGGTCGAGCGGAACGGCCACCGAGCTCCACTTCACATCCTTGAGGCTGCAGCCCAGCGAGGGCGCCGGGTCCATCTTCCCCGCCTACTCCTGCCCAGCGCTCCCGCCGATGCCGCCGGCACCACCCGCGCCTCTGCGACCGCCGCTGATTGCGCTCGAGGTCTGGGGCGCGCGAAGGCGCCGGGCACTACGGCCGCTGGCAGCCCGGGGACACGTCGGCTGAGGCGGCCGGGAAGGACGGGGCCCGCGCCGGGCTCAGCTGCCGCTGCGGGGCATGGCTGCCGCGCCCCGCGCGCCCTCACGCCCCGAGTGGACTCGCAGCAGCCCAGCGGCGGGCGGCGGCGGCTCCCGCTCCGCCTCCTCCTCTGGCCCCGGGTCTGCAGCTGCGGCGGCCGCTGGCTCGCCTCCTCCTCCTCTTACTCCTCCTTCCCTCCGCCTCGAGCGTGTGAGGAGGAGCCGCGGGTCTGAGAAACGCCATAGCAGCGCTCCCAGCACTGACTAATCAACAAGGTGCGAGCAACGCCTGCGCAGCTCCGGGAGACACCGCCTCCGCCCCCGCCTCCTCGCCGCCGCCCGCTCCGCCTCTCACTCGGCCTCCCCCTCCCCGGCCCGGCGGGCTCGGCCCGGCGTCAGCTTCCCCGCCGCGGCCGCCGGCGCCTGGGCTCGGCGCGCTCCTCAAGCTTTAGCTCTCGCTCCCCCGTCCGACCGCTCAGGCGCCCTGCAGCCTCTCCGGAGCCCGGGAGGAGCGGGATGAGCTCAGAAATTACTTAGTGGTAGTGTCAGGCACTGTCCTCTCCTGGAATCACTAATACAGGGCACTGAAGGGATCTATGTTGGTGCTCACCTCTAATGAGGCTGGGAAAGGCAAGCGTGGAGCGCTCCACGGCGTTTCTCTCCAACCATTCGAATCTACAAACGGAACCGAAAGTTAATCCTACAAAGTCTAGACTTTGGCTGCTAGGCAGAATGTAAAAGGTCAAAGCACGGACAGGGAGAAAGGCGATGAATGATCAGTACCAACACAAGGGAAGGTCACAGATCTGTTTAGTACCTTCATTGAATGAACAAGCTTCTAGAGACTGCAGGGGATGAGGCCACCAACCACCGTGGACACATCCAGAGAAAGGGTGAACTAAGTTACTGGGAACCCACTGGGGCCAGCTGTTTTCACATTCTTTTCCCACTCAATTCTCTTCCAATATTAAAGGTTGCGGTAATTTCCGTTTTCTAGATAATGCGAACCAAGATATTAGGTAGTTTGCCGAGATTACACAACTTGTAGATGGTCGTTTTGGGATTCAAACCTACAGTTCGCTTTCTGTGATAAATCATTATGTATTCTCCTCAGTATTGAATATGGCCTGATCACTGCAGACAGAGCTCAGCACATAAAGGCATATCGTGAGATTGTTTCTTCAGGCATGTCCTGATTTTTGTGTGCTAGTCTTTTTTTAAGCATTGTTTTATACTAGTAAAGGTGAGTGGTTGCTAGGCAAAAGGGTTGCGAAGCACTCTTTTTTTTTTCACCAGGTATTTAGTGTTCAGTCAGTGCGTGATAAGGCAAAACAAGCCCCCGTTTTACCCACCCGAGGGAACCTGAAAACATCCCGCCACCTGCCAAAGGGCTGACCTAAGTCTGTGTCCGTGAAAAAAAACCCACTCCAATTATCAACTGAAGAAAAACACGGAGATTCTTCCAAACCCATCTTTCTTGTCCTCTCGCTTTGAAGCATTGGCGATATTTTTCACAAAATTCTTTACTGAAAGTGTTGATCTCTGCGTCTTTCACGTTAATTGTTTGAAAAACCCTGGGAAAAAAAGGTGAAAAACATTTTAGTACATACTTTGCTCAGAATCACAGACAGGTCCATAAAGTTCTGAGATTGCTCACTTATAAAAGAATTTGTAACAACCATAAGAAGCTAACTGCCAGCTAATTTGTATTCTATCTAAATAATTCATTGCTTCTGGAAATAAAGCTCAGACTCCAAAAACAATGTAGTAAACATTTTTAAATGGGCGGGGTCAAGGGTCCTTCAATCAGAAAATAAATCCTAAAACTTTACATGGTATATTGATTTAAAAAAAACACAACTCTCTGCTACTATATATATCTTTAAAAGCTTCAAGGAATAAAAGCAGTTTATTCCTTACAAAGAGGGCTGGTGACTTATGACCTAAAAACAAGATAAAAAAGTAAAGTAAAAGGATTAATGCAATCAACTTTTTTTTCATCAATAAAGGATTTACATTAAATTTGTTATTGCTAACCTTGCAGAAAAGGTTTCATTTCAATCTTGAGTGTTAAAGGAAAGAAATTTTAATGAGGTAGAGATTCTTACATAAATCTCCTGTTCTGGCGAAACTCTTACAGAAAGATCTTAATTGTGAGATGGGGAATGTTTGGCTAAATGGTAAAAAATATCAGCAGAGAAGGGTAATTTTTCAGTCTGGTTTAACTTCACTTCCAGACGTGGTATGAGGAGGCGTGTTTCTTAAGATTGTTAGACCAATGAAAAACATGTATATAAAAGCATAACAACCGGATGCAGGGGCAGAACTTACAGGGTTTGGCAGTTTGCGAAGAAAGAACATTCGAGCAAAGTTTTCTGTAAATCAAAATTTGATGTATGGGTCCCTTGTTTCTACTGAGCAACTTTTTGGGGTTTTTCTTTTTTTTGAGAGTACGTTTGCAAAAGCTGGGGACAGGGAAACAAGGAAGGGTTTAGGATAGAAGAGCAACAGGCAAGAACCTAGGCTGGGCTGCTTTGGCTCTCTAAAAATGTTACAGGAAAGAAATGAGCCAAGGTGGGACTGCTATTGGCTCACTGAGAAGTCTGAGAAAAGGAGCCTTGGAAAGAGGTTCAGGAGTTTTGCTACCTGCTGTTTCCCTGGTTGCAAGTTTCATGGAAACCCCTAGAATTTAAAAAAAAAAAAATGTGCCCGAGAGAAGGACACAGTTGTGCTCCAAGGAGGGCACACCTACTAGGTATCTTTTTAAATTGAGATTTGTGGGTGGAAGCATATTATGGTGATTAGAATATTGAGTCCAGAGCTGGGTGGCTTGGGTTTGGTTGCTAGCTCTGCACTTACTTCAAATCTAGGGCAACTTGTTCTACCCTCCTCTGGAAAATAAGGATAATTGCTAGAGACTGAATGTTTGTGTCCCCCTTCCCCCGCGCCCCTTAGCATGAGCAAAATCTCATGCTAAGACCTAGTTCCTAATGTGATAGCATTTGGAGTTGGGACCTTTGGAAACTGATTAGGTCTATGAACTCAGAAGCAGGCTCAGGCCAAATATGAAACCTGCCTGAGCTTTGATTTTGGACTTCCCCTCCTCCAGAACTGTGAAAAGTAAACTTCTGTTGCTTTTAAGCCACCCAGTCTATGGTATTCTGTTATAGCAGCTGGAACTAACTAGGGCAATAATAATAGTTCTCATCTCATAGGTTTGATATGAAAATTTAATCATTTAATATATGTTGAGCATTTAGAATAGTATCTGATACATGTAAAGTACTATGGAAGAATTTGCTATGATTATTAAAAGTAGTATTGGCTTAGAAGGGGTCAAATTTAGAGAAAAGATAAAAAGACAAGATAAAAAGGTGGGAGCTGTGAGGTAATCATTAGAATTGGAAGAATAGTTATATTAGACAAGGAGTAGAGGAACATTCCTCAATGGGAGCAGAAACCTAGGTGTCTGCTCCCACCTGTGAGACTGCCCTTTCCAGATCTGGAGCCTGGACAAGTTTAGCTTTTTCCACGGTGAGCCAGCCCTGCTTCTCAGCAGACCCAGGCAGTGACCACCACGCCTCTTCATTTGCTGATCTAATGATGCTGATAAGCACAAGGGTGAATCAGACACATGATACTGTAGGGACTCATGAGGGACACTTCAGTTTCCTTGCTGTGAAACTACTGTTCGTACATACATAATTTCTTAATTCTCTGCCTTATCAGCTTTGTAAGATAAAAATATTACATGTTGGTTTCCCTAAAATCAGAATGTCCTGGGTCACATAATGTGCTAGTGGTCAAGTGTGATATCAAAGTTCACAACCCCGGTTGTTTTCTGGGTCTCTAAACACCTTTCTCTTTCAATTAACTTCCATGGCGACTCCCTGGCTAAAACTTTGTACTGTATTTGTATCCTCATGGTCTGTGGACTAAACCATAAAGCCCTCTCTCCATACAGTATAAAAGGCTCTTTCCCTATGTGGAAGAAACTTCATTTCAGTTGACTACCTTCTGACACCCTAGAATCTAGTAGTAGTACCTTCTTGTAGTTGCTCAAACATGCCTTTCTCATACACGCCCTTGAAGAGGTGGTTCTCCCAGCTTGGAATGCCTTTCTGCCTTTCTCTTCCTGTGAAACTCCCATTCCAGCTCCCACTACTTGCATTCCTTGAAGTGCTGTGTATCCTTCAAGGAGCTAATCACCCCTTTTCCTGCGTTATCATTATATGGGCATCCCTCTTTTTAATTGTGCTAATTGCACTATGATTTATTATCTGTTCTTATGTTAGCTTCCCGTACTAGAGAGCAATTAATGGTGGCCACCAAAAGTATATTTTATTCACCTTTGTTCCTTTTAACTTCTATTTCCATGTCTGGCACGCGGACAGTGCTCAATTAATGTTTGTTGAATTAAGCAACCAATGGCCGCATCATCCTCTCATCTATATTATGTTTTAGGTTACTATGCCTCTTGATTATAAACAATTAATGCTCATCAAGTCTAGAAATTTGCAAGCTATTTAAGGTTCCAGTCTCATACAACAATGGTTATGATTAGATTGGCTCCCGATTCTTTTTATTCCTCTGAAAAATTGAATTTCATTGAAATCAAGATTTGTATTTTTGTCACTGAACTGAAGATGTACCTCTAGACTATTAGTTACAACACTTACTAAAACTATTAATGCATTGTTAGTTTATTGTTCATTAGCTTATTTGTGATCTCCCATACTAGGACTCTACCCTCAGAGAGGCTTGCTTTATCTTTGCATCTCCAGTGCCAGGCATCTCTTTCTCTAGATTTCTATCTGTAGATAAAGTAATAATTTATTGTATATACCATATGAATACTTTCAGAGGGATTTATAAACATATTCAGAAATCTACTTTGTCTTCCCTTCCTTTCCTGTTTTTGATATAGGAGGTGTCTTTCTTAAATAGATCATCAGATAACATTTAAATTACAGTGCCAATATAGAAATATTAAGGAAAAATATCCCAAGTTGAAAATCAGGTTTCATGAGGCATGGTTCCTTTTCCAAATAATACATAACATTTCCCCGCTTAAAAATACACATTATATCTTAAATCAACACACACATACATATATATAACTGAAACAGAAGTTTTACAAAATAGTACTTTTTGTGTGCTTCTAATATGTACTATATCCTGATCTTTTAATCCATTCTTTTATGTTTATTTTTTTTAATGTTAGGACCCACTAATTTTATTTCACAGCCTATAATA